GTAACTGTCAAAGTAGAATTTATTGTCAGTGTCAAGTGTTTGTAATTAATTGTGTGTTTCAAAATGAATCACTTTTCAAATTATGAAAAATACGATACGAAGAAATGTATTTGAATAAATATCCAGAAAGGCGATAACCTGGTAGAACTATGTTTAGGCGTCTGAAATACAACCTTTTAGCTACGGGAGTTTTGCTAAGGTAAAGAAAAACAAACTTCCAGACGAAAATAAAGACAATTTGGTAATGCAAAGCGTGGTTGAGACACTTCGTACGTCTTTACGTCAAATTGAAACCACAACAGGTGTTGCCCGGTCAACGGCGAATAGTACTTTAAAGCGTCATAACCTATCGTGAACGGCCCTGCCAGGGACTCCAGAATGGCGATGCGATTAGAAGAATCGCATTTTGTCAGTGGTTTATTCAAAGAAATAACGAGATACCAAACTTTTCCTTAAAAGTCCTTTGGCCAGATGAGAGCCAAATGTGAACTATTTAATCGTAAAAATGCCGTTTTTTGGTCTGATGAAAATCCACGGCTAGTTCGTCAAGTTAGGCACCAAGTTGGGTTTGGATTTAACGTCTGGTTAGGTATTACGGGTACCCACGTGATTGGACCATTTTTTTTAATGAGAACTTAAATTCCGAGAGATTTTTGAACCTCAAACAAACTAACCTAACTGAAGCACTTATGGATGTTCCACTAGCTCCCCTGCAAAACTTGTATTTCCAACAAGACGACGAGCCGCCACATAATGGACGTATTATCACAGAATTTTTAAATCACGAATTTCCCAACAAGTGGATAGGCAACCTGGAATCAGTAAGATGACCTGCGAGATCCCCTGACATAACACCGATTGATTTTTTGCATGGGGTTTCCTCAAAAATGTGGTATACTGTAGGTCATACGGAACCGAAGAGGAGCTGAGACACGCTGTGATTGAAGCTGTTAACAGAATTACCCCAGAAATGATCAGAAAATCCTGTGAAGCAGTAATGAGACGATGTATGTTGTGCGGGCGAGGAAACGGTGGCTTATTTGAACACCTACTTTTAATCTTAAAATGTTACTTGTTCTTTTGCAGCGTTCGATGTATGATCAATAATAATTTAAAGTAATAATTAATGGAAATATCAATGCCTACTACCATAAAATCTGAATTTTGTTAATTTTAATTATTTATCTTCACGGAACATAAACATGTTATACATGGTTGAAGAGCATATTTAAAGGGGAATTTAAAAATGCAGAAATTCAATATGGCGCCCATAAGAAAACCAAAAGTTGACTTCGGCCTCATTGAACATAGTGGCCTAGATTATTTTTTACTTTATTTTCAAATTCACGCTAATTTCTTATCACCACCCTGAAAATTTCGTTATAGTATCTTTTATATAAACACGATATAAAGAATTTTATAAAACGCACTTTTTTCTTTCTTTCCCTGTATATCCGTTGCTATTCCGAGTTCAAAGAAGTTGATGACAGATTATTTATAGGCACTTGATTGCGCAACTTTTTCCCCATTTGGTCCATCCTGGAACTCTAACGGTTTCCAATATCCCCATGTACATAATTTTACACTGGACACACACTGTATATATATAAATAATCTTTATTTCCTATAGAAAAAGGCTATCGACCCAATCGGTCTTTCTGTCCTCGACTTTTATATTATCTATAAGTTTTCGGCTAGAAGGGGGGTTTTAAACCCCTAAACTGCACCCCCCTTGTACGATTTCCAGTGATTTCGTGTAAAATTTAATTTTTAATTAGTTAAGTTGCAACTTGACCAGCTTTGTGAATGTTGTCCGCCTGATTCTTGCCAATACCTTATTTTTTTTTCAAATGAAGTGTATTAAATTCGTATCGGCTCTCACTCACTAGAACTATCTAAGCACCAATAAAAGCTCTCGTTGTTTATTGAGATAAAATGTGGATTTTTTTATATTTTTGTTTGTTTGAGGCTCCTCTCCTAGGCAATTTAACGCGTAGATTTGATTTTGAATTCGAATTCGATTCGAACATCACACAAATTTGAACCAATGCATGCAGGCTTCTAGCCCGCAGATCTTCTAGCTGTTAGCCAGCAGATTATGCTCGTTTAGTGATTTATCAGATTATCAATTTTTCTATAATTCTCAATTATTTCAATTTTATTTTACACTGACTGCAATATAATAAAATACTACTAAATAAGATTGCAACCACTTGCGCCTTCATACGTTCTAGTTAATCACCTCTTTGAAACTGCGGTTCTGTCTACGAACATCGTCTAGATTTAATTTCTGAACTGGCTTTAAATCAGTTATTGTTAAGTTACCCTTCTCAATTTCGGATGAATGCTTTGAAGAGAAAATTTCATACTAACATGAGTAATAATAATAATCGATAAAACCCAAACGTTTTCTTGTCATTTACAATATATTTTTGAATCCCGACGTTTGTTTTTTCAATCCTCCTTATGACTAATGCGTATCCAGCGAACAGCGATTTGGTACTATTGGAAATATCTGGATGTATTGAAAACAATAATCGAAATGTTTCTGAAATAATACGATTGAAGTAGGGATAACTAACTAAGAACAATATCCAAGTAAGATAAAAGAAGCAATATTAATACTGACTTGAGGAAATGTGCATTAGTCAATTGTTCGAAACTTAAGAAAAAATGGTAAAAACACAGCTACTACGCACTAAAATATTTTGATACTTGAAACATCTTACAGTATAAATTAAAATATGTAGGTATACGTAGCAGACCGAGATTTTTACTTCGGCTGTCAGGCAAAATAAAAATATCTACTGTGTTTTAATTCTCTTGCTATTTTGATTGGTTTGTTTCTGTTTCACAATTTTTCACGTTTTATAACCAGTGTAAATACGTTTATTATCGCCCTTTAGAATAGGGGATGCTGAATCGAATAAACGCGCACAATTCAGAAATTGAAGAAAATTCGGCATAGCGTTTAAAATAAGAAAAACAAATGACTTCTGTTGCACTGCACTAAATGCTTTCGCTGAGTCTCGATTTAACAATGTAACAATTTGCATCTACGTATGTAAAAATTATATCTCCAATAAAAGTCAGTTTTTAATATAAGCTCGTACTTACATAGTAAATACACATTTTGAAATGTGATAATCTCAGACACCCCTCGAATCTGTTTAGAACCTGTGGTGGTCCTAAACCAACACTCGAAACATGTACTTTATTTCGCTCATGTATGGCTTTGATGGTGCCGAGAGTTCAATTGTTCTTCAAAATAAGTCGCGACCATAAGGGACGTGCATGTGCCTCTTCTGATATTGCTTTATAAGCATACATAATATGATGCGATTGTTTGGGCGTGTGTAAAATCAAGAATTTATTTTTTCTTTCATACTAATCAATAAATGTCTGCTTTTTAGATGATCAAGAAGGACTATCTATTATAATTGAAATAGCACAGTTTAAAAATACGCAAGTAGATCACTATGCAAACAAAATAATCAAACAATTGTTACGTAAAACTAGCTCAAAAAATTGATTGATAGATTGATCGAAAGTTGTAAAGTTAATAAGTATGTATTCATAGAGTCCTCACGCTGGAAAGCCAGTAGGCCAGACCTTCCAAGTAAAATGCTGCGGTTTCATGATGTTGGGTTAACTTTTGCAAGCAGATAGAAAAACTAGGCAAAGTGAAGGATTTTGGGAATTGCGTGCGGTTTATAGGAAAACATTTGAGTTTTGACCCAGCTTTTCCAGAGGTATACTTCCCTTTTCAGTGCTAAAACCGTTTCAGGACCAAGAAATTGGACCATAACGAATTAACCGTTTATTGATATTTCGACGAATCAAGTGTTAAGGCAAAAGTTTGATTACGAATCTCATCATGTTCACTTTAATTGTGTATTTGTTTCTTTTACCGAAATCTTATGGTTTTCTTCTTGTTCCAGGTTCCCTTCAGCAGCTTGTCGCAACGACAATGGACATAGAAATATGCAACTCTTAAATGTGATTATATTTGTACAAAGTGTAAATGTAGTGCCCCAGTGTTTAGATAAAGTAAAAAAAACGAAAAACTTGTACAAAAGTATTAGACTAATCGTGCTGACTGCTGTATATACATATATAATATTGTGGTGAGGAATGGGGGCGCCCCGAAGAGGTTCCTTCAAACCGGATCTGTAACGTTTCTCTGTTACAACAGTTACGCAACAATTACGAGATAAGCGTAAACGTTTTAAAGTCATGTGGTATTGTAGTCTAGACCCGTGTTGTAATACTATGCCATGTCCTTCCTAAAGGAAAAAAAACGATCAGCCGCAAAGCACCACGTCTTTTCTTGGTTTCAAATTATATTCCTTCATCGTCACCGATAGTAATCATTCATTTAGTATTCAATACTAGTATACAATCAAAATAAGAAAGTATCTTCTATGTTCAATTAATCAGCTGAACAGATTCAAAGCTCAGTATCGCGAAAAACGTGTGAAATTCGAATTGTAAATCTAGTATTGACCACTAAATTAAGTGAGACAACTTACAGTTAAGTGAGTTTATTTTGTAACTTGTGGTTGCAAATTATTTAAGGGTGAAAACGAAGCAGGGCATGTGCGTATTAAGAGTTCAGGGTTGTGCCATTTTAAAATTACTGTTAAACTATGGAGATTATGACGATTTACAATGAAGTGGAGTTTGGTTTCCCCTCCGGCTCATTGAAATGAAACCGATTTGCCCCAAATCAAGAAATGTTCAGACAGCCTTAACGTTAATCAATGATTTCTCAGAACACACGCGACACTTTTGCTAAATTCAGTGGCAGATCCGATTCCATGTTTAATGAGTGAAGTACTTAACTTTAAAAGATATACGATATACGTAACTAATGATCCTAGAAAAATACTAACATGTAGCAGGTGGTTAAAAATTACGTTCCTTCTGCTGCAACTAGGGTAATATCAAAAAAGTGCAATAAAGATAAAGGGGAGAAGCAGGATCACTGCCAACCGACAACCGAAAATGTATACCAAGTTTTATAACGTTCGTCGTAACAAAGCCATCATATAATGTTCTTCAGGAGTTTACAACTTTTGAATTGTTTCGTATCAATAGAGGATACTTTTATACGGCTGTCCTGCTTCTCTTTATACGCAAACGTCTTTCAAAGAGAAAAAAATGTTGAAGTATCTGCAGAGTTTCTTACACATTGAAATCTACACACTATTTACAAGTGCCGCAATTCGTAACATAAATCGGTTTCATCAGCAGTTCAATCAATGATACTAATTTCAATCGTCTTATTGCCTTGTCCTGGTTTTTGGGAGGGTCTGAATTTGCATCTAATTATTTGTACAGGGTGTGCAAATTTTTACAAAACAAAATTAGTTTTGCAAATTTTTACGAAACAAAATTAGTTTTGCAAAACGAAATTAATGTTTTAAGTAAACGTTTCAGAAATGCATCTTAAAAGAGCCAATTTTTTAACTTTCGCATTATTCTTAAATGTTTGGTGGAATTTCGTTGTAACTGGCAACTTAAAGTTCCGCTTTAAATGGACGAGGTCACAGTTTTTCGCCGTGTGCGACCTCTAATTATTCTTTGCTTATGGTTTTCTATACAATTTCGTACCTTCGTAAAGTTGATGACTTGTCCATTCGAAATGTCTGCCTTAGTATTTTGGTGGGTTAAAACAAAAAATTTCAAACTTCTTAATGGGTCGTTCAAACAAGGTTTTGCTTAGTTTAAATCAATCAATATTGATTAACTAAGAAGTTTATCCACTCATGAGTTAGTTGTTATTATTGTTGTTTGTCGTTACTGCAAGCGCATCACACTCTACGTAAGAAACTATTTGAGATTGAACATAGAAAGTTAACAAAGCCATGATCATTCAGGCGTTTTCCTTTGCAAGCTAATTTCTTTATTTCTCAGCTCGATCACCTGATCTAAACCCCTTGGATTCTTACTTGTGTGGTAATAATGTTGTGCCACAGAAGAAGATAGCGAACATTTATTTCCAATTACTCCTGTAAATTAGTATCAGTAATAATTTTGTTTCATTAATTAAGTCATTTTGCTGGAAAATTGATGCGTCCAAGCAAAGTGAATTGAGAGTAGCGTTTTTGGTATTCAGACTCTTTATTCAGATTTAGCTTTTCCGAATTGTTCTACAAAAGAACAAAAGACAGGCCCAGGAAACCGTTAGAGCCAATTTTTTATCAGTTGTTAAAAATGAACAGCTCTAGTTTTGGCACAAATTAAGCATGCAATAAGGGAATAATTTGAAAGCAGCCATCCGCACGGGGTGATTTTCAACCAGACTGCTCTTTTTAATATATCTTAATTAATACAATTAATATTATTTTTTGAAAGCAGTTTCACTGTTTCAGTTTGGCCACCTAATTCCGAGACCCCTGTTTATATACACATCATATACTAGTCGCACTCCAGTAGGTACAAACATTGCCAGATATTTCAACATTGAATATTTCTGATATACAATTTAATTTTATTGCACTGGTACACAAGTATACAGAATGTTGCAAAGTCCTCAGGTGATCGATCGATCATCAAAATATACGAGATTATAATTGTGAACGTAGGTCCTTAACGATAATTTATTTTTTAATTTCTGTAGTTTGCTTGGTACTTATTAAGTAACTTTGTATGTATAGTCGTGCCCAATATAGTTTTGCTGTGAATGCTTCAAATAAGCCGATAATTGCAGATCGATGTAAATTTTCCCTTTTCAATCTAAGTACATTACTATATGATGAAAAAACCTGCGCTAATCTTAATGATTTATAAGAAGACGCACATTTTTGAAAATAGTAATTTAAAAAAAATGCGATCAGGAATGCATGAGCACTAAACAAAAAAGTTGCTTGGATTTTATTTATTTAACTTGGTTGGCGGCAACTAAAACCTAGCACGAATTATAATACACAATAGCATAAAATTAGAGGCAGGTTTTATACATTACATATACATTGACTATAACCGTTTTACAGAACAAAGCAGAACACTTTCGCATGAAGCAGTAAATAGTGCAGCAGTATTGTTTATAACAAATAGCGGGCAGTGCTCTGTTTAAATTTTAAGCTCCTGGATCATTTTTTTCTTAGTTCTGAACTTTCTTAACGTTCTGGTGTTCAGTAAATCTTTTATAAAAATACATACCTTGACTTCCAGCATCTTATAGAAACCGCGGCAGTTCATGTTCATGGCTTAAAACCTTAATCAAACGAATCGCAAAGAATACGGCGCAATTGCCACCAACATTCATTAACTGGATGAGATCCTTTGAGAAGAAATAATATTTTAAACCAACTAAAATCGAAGTTTTCAGGTATTTGAAAATAATCGGCCGAACATTGATAAGGGAAAGTAAATCACTTGCAATTAAAGAGTTATAGAGATTCGTGGCACTATATCTAAGTCTGATGTAATACGTAATATATTTTGCACCATTCTGATTATTTCGATGTAATAACTAATCAATTCTACTCGCCTTCTATAAAAGGGTTGGCGACTGGAGGTAGAACGATTTCAACGTTTTGTTTGGGCTTATTGTTAATGTTGCTAAATTGATTTTTCTATCTTTCAGTGGACAACCCCGTATAAAGAGTTTTATCCAGCTCCAAATCTTTTGCCAGACACCCAACGTATACGACTTTAGTGATGTTATAGGTTATTATTATTGTAATTATTATAAATTTATCTCGTACACAATTGCTGGTTAGAGAGCGGATTCGGATAAAGCCCATTTGTCCTGTATATTTGGCCTTTCTATTATTGTTTGAATTTACGTTTTCAGCGTTACCTTTGTTAAGTTGCTGGGAAAGGCGAGGGTTTTGTTATGTATACCGATTTACACTAGGCTCAGAGGTATAGTTTTTGATTTAATATACTCTGGTGTATTGTACATATTGTATTAAGTATTTATGCATAGACTATTAAGTATACTAACGCTCTTTGTAAGAGCCTCCCGCGGCTTACCCGGCATACTGTTTATGTACTTTTATTGTAAATACAATTTACCTCCAATAAAATGTTGGCTGTTCGTTTTAAGTGATTACCATCATGAATCATTATCGCCTTATCCAATGTATACGAAAAAAATTAAATCAATACAGATCATTGAGAGAATATCGTACCTCTATGTTATTAATAATGTATGAGAGGAAACTTTATTGTGTTCTGCTTTTTCATAAAAATTATATATTAATATTATAAATAATTATGGGACAAGATACCTCAAAATTGATTTGGTAACGCCGTGTCCTCTGTATAGTGTTTTTTTTTTGAAACGTGAGCATTAAATGCTACATCTTGTGTACTTATATAAACTGTGTTTTTATTTCGCATGTCCTTTCCTCTTCCTAGCTTGCAGGAACACTTCATTATGAAAACCAATATTTGCTATTTATATTTGATGCAGTGACTGGTTAAAACTATTGGTAAATGCTGCCTGGATCTCACCATAAAATGTCCAAATTTAAGGGAAAACCAAATTATTACTGCCATATGAATAACAAATTCTTCAAGATTAAGCTTTCTATTGTCTTCATTCCAAACCTTGTTTTGTAATGTTCCGTACCATCAATAATTTTCTGGTAAATCTGACCGAGAACGAGCAAAGAATGGTTAACTTTCCTTCAGATTTACTATGAAGTTCGATTTGAAGATGCATTTATTTGAAAGATAGTTTTATGGATTTTTCCAGAACTTTAAATGAAACAAAAACCAGAACATAATGTTCAATGCTCAGTTGTGGTGACAAAAGCCTAAGAAGATTTTGCTAAGCAAAACAGAAAAAATAGCTTCGTTTCTAAGTTACAAGGTGGAACAATTACATCCGGGTATGTTCGAACAATCACGAAGCTACGTTGCAAGTTTGAACAGGTGTGGTAGTTTTGTTATCATTTATTCATTTTGGAAATGTATTTACTGATAGATAGGTATCCACTCAGTAAATGAAAATAAAAATCTGTTTTCCTTGAAAAGTGGTCGAGAGACCGAAATAAACAATACAGGATGAGTTTTTTCGATGACTGGTACAGGGATCTTCCAAACTATAGCAGTTACGAAAAAGGTTAAATGGACAAAGAATTGTAGTTTTGAACTTTATTTTTATTTTATTGACAGCTGTCAAGACATATTTGGGAAAAACTTTTYTATGGTAAATTTTTAARTTACTCCTAGTTCCGCTAATATTAATTTGAGAGGAACACATTAAATAGAAAACTTGTAGRAAATTGAAGTACAAACAAAATTGCATAAAACATTTTTCCAAAATAACTGTCATTTTTGACATGTCACAAATTTRCGTTTTTTTAAATTGCAACCATACTTSAATATTGCTTTACCGAATAGAGTATTYTATTACGATTTCTGTGATATGTCACATCGTTAGGATTTATTCAAAAATAAAGTGTCTACGAACAATTTATACTTTTTCAATTTCGTTGATCTAAGTTAGTCATGGAAAATAGTATAAGACATATTACTGTTTCCTAATATATTGATCTGAAAGTGAAGAAACCCCAGTTTCCAAGAGTTTTCCAAATAAATGATTGTTGATGATGAAGTTTTCACTTTTTCAGTCTGGGGAAATATTTTTGGAAAAAGACCCAGAGATAATTATTAGGGTTTTTTCCATAATCCGAAGCTGCAACCAGTTTTCCAAAAATATTTGCAAAGCGCTTAAGGAAGCGAGTGTTCCAATAAAATGTATTTTATAATTTTTCACAGAAAATACCTGAAAATTGCCAGTATTTTAAGTAAAACTAAAAAAGAATTGCTTAATCGAAACTGATAAAACTGGAATGTCCTGAAAATTTAAAGGAACTGTAAAAATCCTCAGAGCAATGAGGGCGGCGAATTTTCCAAATAATTTGTTGTACATTTTTCACTCTGGCCGTTTTCCAAGATAATCCTAATTACTTTCGGAAAAAAATTAATAAAATTTGGTTCTTGTGCCAAATTGAAAGGTAAAATGGGTTTTCTAAAGTTCTCTGCAAACCGATGAATGAGGCAAATTTTCTAGCAGACTTAATTTTGTCATTGTTGGCTGAAAAGACCCCATTATTGACAGAAAATAAAAAAATCATCAAGGAATAATAGTTTGTCTGCGTTTTCGATTAAAATTTTTTTATTTTATGATCAGTTTTAGAGAAAACCTGAATGGTTTTCGGGAAAAAACGGGTGGAATTTATTTTGGTTTTTGTCCCGTATTCGACGATCCAAAAGTGTTTGTAAAATTTGGACAACTTTAACGTAGTTGTCAAAATAAATACTGAAGCATACTATTATTATTTGTTACTATGGAAACAATGCTGTCTTATACTATTTTCCTTTGTTAACTTCGATCAACTAAATTGAAAAAGTATAAATTGTTTGCAGACACTTTATTTTCGAAAAAAACCTAACGTGCTATATCACATAATTTGTAATGAAATCAATTGTAATGAAATCAAGAATGGTATGAAATCAATGTATGTAATAAAATGAAGTATCAAGTATTTAAAAAAAATTAAATTTGTGTCATATGTCAAAAATTACAGTTATTTTGGAAAAATGTCATATGCCATTTTGTGTAGAATTAGATTTCCTACAAGTTTTCTATTTAATGCTTTCCTGTGAAATTAATATCAACGGAACTAGGAGTAATTACAAATTTACCATAAATAAGTTTTTCCCAAATATCTCTTGACAGCTGTAAAATTTTAGAAAAATTATGTTAGTTTCGAGTAGAGCATTTAAAATTACAATTCTTTGTGCATTTAACCTTCTTCGGAACTGCTCTAGTTTCGAAGATCCCTCTACTAGTCATCGAAAAAACTCACCCTGTATAACGAAATTGACAAAACTTAAACAAGTGTTTTTAGTTTTCAATCTAACTTTTTGGTAATTAAACATATAGGGTAATAAGTTATAACTGCAAATGTCGGTGCATGTGGTGGTCGCAAGTGTCTAATCTCGGGGTAAAAAGACTTAACTTTGCAAATTATCAAGTTCCTAACTTTTAGAATAAGTACAGAAAAGGCAATACAAATTTGAACTTTGCACACCCTTGTAGATCGAAAACGAGGCAGTTTAGATCCATGTTCGTATGAACTTTTTTTCATATTTCACTTATTGGAACCTGGAAAATGTGCTTTCGTCACCATAACTTTTAAACCCCCTGGAAGTACGAAGGCGTAATGAGAAACCTTATTAGAATATCAAACAGGAAGTTTCAACTTTTTAGAATCTAATTGCACCTATAATTTRTAGATCAGACACGRATTATRAAAAAGCAATTTTTGGAAAAGCTCAATTAAGTTTAAGCCTAATCCCTAAGCATTTTCGCGAMGCACGATCGGGTTCAAGACATTTGCCTAATTTCTTTTTAAAAGATTCAAAACATTTTTTTTAAAGATGGCTTCATATAAATGTGGTTAAGGGTGAACTGATAATGGTACTGATATATTTCTCAAGCTTTAAAAAAGAATAACACTACAGCTTGGGCTTGGCTGCAAAAGACCAAGGCGAGACACGATTTTGCCACTGCCACGCTTGAAAAATATCTCGGCTTTTTTTATTTTAACAAGAAGAAGTTGATGTGTACACACTTACATMAAYTTGTTTGATTGAATTTTTTTATTTTACTCACAAAAGTCGACAAATTTTGATGCTGGGCAAAACCAGTTACTACATCGGATTTAAAATATAATATTCAGAAACGTGTTGCTCCAAGAAAATGTTAAACTAACCAATAAAACATCCACCAAAATTGTCTTTAAAGGTGGTACCTTTAGACATAAAATGTTGTTCACCATTTAGTCAGAACCTCCGACTACTTTCGTACAAGGTGGTACTAGAGGCCAAGTTCGAGCCATACAGTGTTATAATAAAAACTGCACAATAATACTATTTAAAACAGTTTAGAAATCAAATTATATTATGCAGGGCGGCTCACGGATGTGACATTGGATTGTTTTGAAAATTTGGCTAATTTTATAATCAAGCGTGGTCAAACGACTTAAAATATTTTGCGCTATGTAGCCCTGCTGCTTATAACAAAAAGTATTATCTAGTTTGTAATTTCAAATAGGAGATCATATACAGGGTGATTTACGTAAACCGTGCATGCAGGATACAACCATTAACATAAAAAATGTAAAATAATAAGTTTTTTTTAATGACACCTATTAACTTTTTTACTCCTATTTGGTTTCGTTACTTATTGTTTAATTATAGAAAATTTTCACACTGGACCAAAAGAGTTTGTTGGAGCCATTGAAAAAAACTGATTTTTTGTAGTTTTTATCTAAGTTTAGATCATTATTATGGATAAGCTGCTGTTTGAAGAGGAGCCAAATTTACTTAAGATTTCAAGTTAAAATGCAAAAGTTGCTAAATTGTCGAAATTTGGAAGAAAATGTAGTATATATAAAATTTAATTAAAAAGGTAGAAAAACCGAGTAAAAAGTGTTGCTATTGAAAATGGAACAAATCTCTATTGAGAAAACAGGACCTCTTTAATTTAGAATGTAATTCACAGAAGGAAACAACAATAAATGCAACAAATTACCTTCCAAGACAATAGAAAGTATAATTCACACGAAAACGACACTTGTTTTACATGGTTGCTGTTACGTTCGGATTAAAACAACAAATTTAGATAACGCAATACAGACTCCAGATACTTTCTCGTCGTTCCCCGTAGCATAAATATTACATGCACTAATATAAAATAAATCAACTAATAGCGATCTTCCAGGGAAAATGGAAAGCAAACTTAACGAAAGCTGCATCGTGTCACCTGGAAAGAAAAAAAGTGTTTAGTGTACCTACAGGAAATAATTCTAAGCTCCATTGAAATTGGAATGTAGAAAAGCCGTGAAAAATGAGCTGCATCTCAAAAAACTTCCGCCAGTT